ATACTAAAAAAAATAGTCCCCAGACTATTTTTGGATTATTTTTTGATTATTTTTTGTGTATTTTCTATGTTTGTCGAAAATCCCCCTGTGGGGGGACAGGCCCGACTTAAGGGTACCCTCGAATGTTATGCAGTTTGGCCGGCGGAGGGTCTCATGTTCTTGAAGGATGCTCTTCTATTTTTGGTCTGGCTGTAGGCCCAGGAGGGGGATGTATCGACCCCGAAGCGCCCATTGGTCGCCGATAGGTGCCCGATGGCCTACCCCGTCCAGGAGCGTGTGGATTCGCTATCGTGGGCCTATCGCCGACCTATCGACGATGTATTGCCGATTCTGGGTCGGTGCTTTTCCCCGCCTGAGCTGGTGCCCCCCAACGTTGTCCTTCAGTGCTGCGCTGGAATTGCCAACTATCCCTCGTAACGAGTGGGCCCATGTTATGGAATAGGGGAGCTTGCGCAGGTTGTGCAAGGGGTGTTGTGCATTTGTTGCTCGATGCTTGTTTCTATTACATAGGGGCGGTATAACCGGGGAAACCTCCGACTCGAGTTCGCCGGAAGTTGGGTCTTTCGACGCTTTATGACGAGCCCGACCTGGATTTTAACGGGCCAGTGTCCGTGGGATGCTTGCAGCGGGAGGTTGAGTCAAATTTCAGATGGGGTCTCGTCATTTCTTGACGGCCTCGTTAGGCTAACCCGAGTCCCCCGAACCTGAGTCCAACGTCTCCCCGATATCACGTGGCATCGCTTGGGCATGTACAGCTTACCTCGGCGAGGACCCTCAAGGAGTATTTTGGATATCATCTGGCGAAAATCAAAACGGAACACAACACTGACAAAATGGACGAGTAATGGACATCTGAGCGACGGCAAGATACAGTCAACCCGCATAGTGAGGATGCGCAATTTTTCAAGGTTGCCCTTGCATCATTGCCCCTTCGACCCATCTTTGGCCGCTGTCGCTGGCCGAGCCCCGCTCACAAAGTGTCGACATGGCCTTCCAAGGCCCTTGCTTGCTCATCGTGCGCCCTTCTTGTACACGCGGTGACTGTAAGCGCCAGTTCTGGGATCCTCCTCCTCCTCCTCCTCCTCCTCATCCTCCTCCTCCTCCTCCATCTCCTCCTCCTCCTCCTCCTCCTCCTCCTCCTCCTCCTCCTCCTCCTCCTCCTCCTCCTCCTCCACGTCCTCCTCCTCCTCCCCCTCGTGGTCCTTCAGTACGACGGGAGCAGCGCAACGCTCGCTCCAGCACAGCTGCGGCACGTTCGCGGCGCGCAGGCCGCCCGCTTCTCGCAGCACCCGCGGCCCCGTGCCGGCCGTGGCCACGCCGCCGCCGGGCCCTCGCGCGCCCCGCCCTGCCGAGGAGCCCGTGACGCCCGAGCGCCGGCGTTGGGCGGACGACCTGGACGAGGAGGAGGATTCGGGTCCAGAAAAATGTGCACCATCAGAAGAAGAGGAGGAGGAGGAGGAGGAGAAGGTACCCATACCTCCCCTCCCCCCTCAGGGTGAGGATTGCAGAGTCGCAGTGGAGGGCGGGGGGGCGTGTCGGCGTCACCCCAACATACTGATATTGTGTGCTTGTGGTGTGTGTGTGTTGTGTGTCTGTGTGTGGTGTGTGTTGTGTGTGGTGTGTGGTGTGTGTGTGGTGTGTGTGGTGTGTGTGTGGTGTGTGTGTGTGGTGTGTGTGTGTGTTGTGTGTCTGTCATGTGTGTGTCTGTCATGTGTGTCTGTTGTGTGTGTCTGTTGTGTGTGTGTATGTCTGTTGTGAGTGTGTGTGTGTGTGTCTGTTGTGTGTTGTGTGTTGTGTGTGTGTGTGTGTCTGTTGTGAGTGTGTTGTGTGTGCTGTGTGTTGTGTGTGTTGTGTGTGGTGTGTGTTGTGTGTGTTGTGTGGTGTGTGTGTGTGTTGTCTGTGTTGTCTGTATGTTGGTGTGTGTTGGTGTGTGTTGGTGTGTGTTGGTGTGTGAGTGTGTTGGTGTGTGTGTGTTGTGTGTTGTGTTGTGTGTTGTGTGTTGTGTGTGGTGTGTGTGTGTGTTGTGTGAGTGTGTGTGTGAGTGTGTGTGTCTGAGTGTGAGTGTGGGTATGCATGCGTGAGTGCGTGAGTGTGTGAGTGTGTGAATGTGTGTGTGAGTGTGTGAGTGTGTGAGTGTGTGAGTGTGTGAGGATTGTGAGTGTGTGAGTTTGTGAGTGTGTGAGTATTTGTGTGTGTTGTGTGTGAGTGTGTGAGTGCGTGAGTGCGTGTGTGCATGTGTCTATGTGTCTGTGTGTGTGAGTCGCATCCCCCGGGGCGACGCGCGCACCGAGAAATCTTATAGTGCATGTGTCGCGGCGCACGCTTGCTGGCCGCACCGCTTGGGAACTGTCATGCTACAAGACTCGTGCTCTACACGTTCGGGTCGGACGCACGCCTCCGAGGATGATACACAGCACTGCTACCCTCGTCAAAATTGACATCAAAAACGGCGAACACGCCCCTGCGATGCCGGCGCGCCCTACGGTGTCGATACGTCGCCCTTCCAATGTTGGGGCCGGGGCAAAGTTGGTCTGATCGGGAATGACTCGGAAGTTCGATGGCGACCGACATGTAAGTCCTTCGCAGTCATCGCTACTCTGCCCAACATCTCACCACAAACAATTCAGCAACGTAAGACATTTTTGAGGTTACTTTTGACGAGGGTTGTAGTATGCCCTTGTGCGTCCCACCGTGTGCGCCCTGGAACGTCTGGAACGCTCTCAGAGCGTTCTGGAACGCTCTGAGAAGGACGCGGCGCCCGAGACATCTTCCAGAGCCGCCGGATCTCAGAGATACTCGATTCATCCCCACCCGAATTTCGTCTTGGCTTCGTGTGTGCGCCCCACTCTTGCATGCGGGGGACAATTAGCAACTCCGCAGCCCAGATTTGTTCGACGCGCGAGCGGATCGCCCTTGCCGCGCCGCGACGGAAAAAAAAGCGTGTGCGCCCCAGCCCCCCGAGGACGATTGGGAGTGGCAGTGCCCGTCGGGCTTCCGCCTGGAGCCGTTCACCTGCTCCGGGCAGCTCCCCCCCCCGCGCCCACGCGCTTTGCCGCACCACTGGGGAGGGGACGAGGAAGAGGAGGGGGTGAGGCTGAGGGGAGGGGGGAGAGGGAGGGAGGAGGATCAGATACTGCAGGTTCGCGCCGTGTCGACTGGCGGCGACCCCGCCGAGGGCGTTCAACGTTGAACGCCGCCAGCGACCCAGAAACGGTCGATATTGAACGACCTGACGTTTCGGAAGCGGCCGATCGTTCAAGATTGAACGATTCCCGTGGTGTCAGGAACCGGCCGAAGTCGGCACGACACGAACCTGTCGTACCGCTATCTTTCGCGGTTTTCCCTTTTTTGTTCGGCCACTTGGGAGGCCCTCGTCGCCACCGCCGGATTTGCCCCGAAATTCTGGTCTGAACGCACCCCGGGAGAGGTCTGGGGAGTAGCGGTATCGATACCGTGTGGTCTCCCCAGGGGGGGAGGAGTGGAGGAGGGGAGGAGGGGAGGAGGGGCGGAGGACGAGAAGGAGGAGGATGAGGAGGAGGAAAACGAGGAGGCGGAGGAGGAGGAGGAGGACTGCCAAATGCTCTATAGGCTTCCAGGGCGCCTAAGCCCATCTGTAAGGATGTCACGACCCTCAGAGTTCAGTGATCCACGACCGTTCGGAAGTCTCATCCTTAAAGTCCTGAGTGTGTGTGGTGCGATAGGTACTCGCATGGGAAAAGGCCGGGGTCGTATGCGAACGCGCCCCTCACAATGCGGAACGTGCGTGCTCCACGCTCTGGTTAATGAACCCTCTGGTGTGGTCAGCACGTCGTAGGCTCAACCCCATGATCGTGCAAGGCACCCGCGAGCTCGAGGAGACAGTTTTTGGGGGCGATAGGTCGGTCCAGGAGTGAACCCGTCCAGACCGTCACGCCCGACCGTCTGCCCAAGAACTCGGGGAAGCACCCGAAGGCTCCAGTCGGGTGTAGGACCTCGTGCAAAACACCCGCGAGCTTGAGGATACAGTTTTGAGGGGACAACAGGTCGGTCCAGGAGTGAGCCCGTCCAGACCGTTACGCCCGACCATCAACCCAAGACAGGGTAATAGGTTGGTCCACGGGTGAGCCCGTCCAGACCGTTACGCCAAACCGTCTGCCCAAGAGCTCGGGCACGCCCAAGGCTCAAGACGGATTTACCTCTTCCACAAACCTACGAGATTGAGGAGACGGGTTTCGGGGGCAATATGTCGGTCCAGGGGTGCGCCCGTCCAAATCGTTACGCCCGACCGTCTCCCAAGAACTCTGGGAGTCCCTGTCCAGGACAAACCCCCAGCCACCCCGCAGCCCGCCGCACAGTACGGCAAGCGAATCGCACAGCCCCCACGGTCCACAGCGTTCTCCGACGAAACCGTTCTTGTCGTGATAGCAAATCGCCCTTCACCTTGAGCAATAATCGTGTATCTGATGTCCTGCTGAACGCTGATCGCGCACAGCCGCATCACGACTGTCAGGCCAGACTACACAGGAGGCGGGGCACGATTTGTTACACACCCTTGTCCGGCGGACGACTTCGTGCCCGCACGCGTTTCGCAAATGTACGTGTGGATGCGGTGTCCAAAGCCCCCTCCTCCCACTTCCTCTCATCCCGCCCCTTCCAGAGAGAGAGAGAGAAAGAGACAAACAAAAATAACAACAACACACAAAAACAAAGAACACATTAGCCTGGTGAAGGACCCAACCACGTGCAGTTGTGAGTACCGCACTTGTAAATATCTTCTTCGGTGGCGCTCCCTATGGGGCCATGAACCGTATGAGGGGTGCGCCGAGTTGCGTGGCGGGGTACACAACACGTGCGAAGACGATAGGTCGAATTACGAAAGACTGAGCGAATGTGAGTCTGAGCGCGAGTGAGTCTGAGTGTGAATGAGTCTGCGCGCGATTGAGTATATTCGCATGGATGCGAGCATGGCCGCGCCGGGTGTGTATATATATATAGATGAATGTGAATGGTTCACGTACGCCTGACCCTGAGTACTCGTGACACTGAGCGTGGCCGCCGCAGGAAACTCCCCCTGGAACCCCGACAGCAGCGCCCGCACGCCGCGACGCCCATGTCGGCGCGCTCCTCACGAGGATCGCGCCCGCTTCCTTCCCGTTATTTTTCTCCCTCTTTGCCCGTGCGCGCCCATGTCCAAGGCTGCGGGCGCGGCGCCGCACGGAGTCCCCGCGACGCGCGTCGGTCGCCCCGGAAGGGTCCCGGCGACGCGCGCGGGTCGTCCGCTGCGTGGAGCAGAGAGAGCTAGCTGGCTGGCTGATAGCGGGCAAGGCTGCGGCCGCTGGGCAGAGCGACGACGGGGGCGAGCGAGGTTCTGGGCAGAGCGCAGCGCGGCATTCCCGCGACGCGCGCTGGTCGCCCCGAGGGCCCCAGCGACGCGCGCGGGTCGCCCGCGGCGCGAAGCCAAACAGTCAGACCGCCGAGAGACGGCGGGGCTGGGGCGGGCTGCTCCTCAGGTCAAGCCTCGCGTATAAACTCGGTGAAGCTCAGCTCCCTGGCGAGGGCCGCCGCCTCCCTCCTGCACCGCTTCGCGCGCGTGGCAAATTGCTCCAGCTGCTTCCGCAAGCCCTCCGGCGGCCCCGCCGGAAAGAGCTCGATGCGCGGCGCCCGCGTGAACAGGAGGTTCTCGTGGCGCGTGGCGCGCGAGAGCAGCGCGTAGAGCTCTAGCCACCCCAGTCGTCGTCCTTCTTGCCGTTCCCCACCTCGTGGCGGCCGCAGTCCAGGATCACGCCTGGGCGAGGTCGGCCGAAGGAGCAACGCGCCAGACAGCCAAAATGGGGCGGCGGCGCCATGCGAACTGCGCCACTGGGACCTTAGGCGGAGCTCCGCATGGGGCCGCGAAGCGTGTGAGGTGTGTGTGTGTGTGTGTGTGTGTGCCAAAATGGGGCGGCAGCGCCATGCGAACTGCACCATTGCGACCTTAGGAGGAGCTCCGTCCGGGGCCACGATTTTGACGGGTGTACCAAAATGGGGCGGCGGCGCCTTGCGAATTGCGCCACTGCGACCTTAAGTGGAGCTCCCTGTAGGGCCACGAAACGTGTGAGGGGTGTGCCAAAATGGAGCGGCGGCGCCATGCGAAATGCGCCACTGCGACCTCAGGTGGAGCTACCTATGGGGCCACGAAGCGTGTGAGGATTGTGCCAGAATGGGGCGGCGGCGCCATGCGAACTGCGCCACTGCGACCTTAGGTGGAGCTCCTTATTGGGGCCACGAAACGTTTGAGGGGTGTGTCAAAATGGGGCGGCGGCGCCATGCGAATTGCGCCGATGGGATGTTAGGTGGAGCTCCCTGTAGGGCCACGAAACGTTTGAGGGGTGTGCCAAACTGGGGCGGCGGCGCCGTGCGAACTGCGCCACTGCGACCTTAGGTGAAGCTCCCTGTGGGGGCCACGAAACGTGCGAAGGATGTCCCAAAATGGGCCGGCGGCGCCATGCGAACTGCGCCATTGCGACTTTCGGTGGGGCTTCCTTGGGGCCACGAAACGTGTGAGGGATGTCCCAAAATGAGCCGGCGGTGCCATCCGAACTGCGCCACTGCGACCTTAGGTGGAGCTCCCTGTGGGGCCACGAAACGTGTGAGGGGTGTGCTAAAATGGGCCGGCGGCGCCATGCGAACTGCGCCACTGCGACCTTAGGTGGAGCTCCTTATTGGGGCCACGAAGCGTGTGAGGGGTGTGCCAAAACAAAGACATTCGGAACGCAAAGGCAAGGAGGGGGAGGAGGGAAGAGTAGGAGTGGGAGGAGGAGGAGAAGGAGGAGGAGGAGGAGGAGGAGGAGGAGGAAGAAGAGGAGGAGGAAGAGGAAAAGGAGGAGGAGGAGGAGGATGAGGAAGAAGGAGAACGCGGGGTACCGTCTTTTCAAAACGAGGACCCAACACCATAGGATGGTTGGGAAAAACAAAGAGAGAAAGAGAGAGAGAGAGAGAGCGAGAGAGAGAGAGAGAACGAGAGGTAAACAAAAACGCGGTCGCTGGGAGGCTGCAGCGGGCCTCCGGGGAGGGCGGAATATCCCCCATAGGGCCGGGTAGGGGCTTCTATCTTCACCAAACCCATCATCGATCCCTGCGCCGTCGATGTGTGTCGCACCCATCTGGCAATTACACAAGGTGTGCGATGCCGGATTTTTCTTACCCCTTCCCCCCTCTGAACCTTGAGAGCAGCAAGCCGTCACGCTTACTTGTTGCCGAACTCTCCTGTGGGGTCCTCGGCCGGTATGGATCCCCAACCCCGAAGAGAGGAACGATCTGCAGACTGCGCAGGCGGCCGCAGGATGGGACGAGACAGGATTCCAACAGACCACAGACGACCCAACGTGTACGTTACGCCCACAAGTGCAATAGCGCAGGCTGTGCGGCCCCCCTACTTCGAGGCCAAAGGAGGGGGGGTGCGGGAGCAATGGGGAAAAGGGGGAGGGAATCGAAAGGGGCTGGAGGGTGTCACGGAATACCCCCCAGGGTGCCGGGTGGATGTTTCTCTCACCACCGCGCCCATCATCGGTACGTGCGTCGTCGATGTGGGTCGCACCCGTGTGGCAATTACAAAGGATGTGCAAGTATGAGGAGGGGGAGGAGGACGAGGAGGAAAACGAGGAGGAGGAGGAGCAGGAGGAGGAGGAGGAGGAGAAGAACGAGGAGGAAGGTGGGGAGGATGCCTCCTCCCTGCCCCCCCGCCGCCCGCCGCCAGGGACACCGTATGCTCCTCGTGCGGGAAGGTGCAGCGCAACGGGTCGTTCGCGATGCGGAGCCCCAGGGGGTCGGGACGATCGAAATGGGCATACCGAAACAATGGGCACAGAGTGCTCGTTTTTTTATCGTTTTCTTAATCGTTTCGCCGATCGGCGCGGGCCCTCGCACCCGTCCCCCCTCCACCCCCGATGGAGTAGGCCTTGCCTGTTTTTGGGCGCCTGTTACAAGCGTGGACGGCTGCCCATAGGATTGCCCATGGGAGCACTTTTCCATCAGTCGCATTAAACAGGTCCGGAGCCACACACCCCCTCCCTCCTCCCCCTTGCGCTCAATGCCGAAGCGCCGAATAGAAAACGCTCACTTTCTTGTTCTGGGTTTCTTAATATGCGTGCGGGGGTACCCTCCCGACGGGGGTCAACCTCGCCTCGACGTCGCGCCGCGACGGGGCTCGGGGCGCCTTCGGCGCGCGGCGGCTGCCCGCGACGGGGGTCGATGTGGGGCTGTCGGTGGGGGTGACGCCCCCCCGACGCGTATTTAGAAACTTGGGGTGTTCGTTGTTTTGCCGATCGGCGCGGGCCCTCGACCCCCCCCCTCTGCCCCCAGAGGAGCAGATTTTAGAGGTCTTTCGGCGCCTGTCTCGAGCCGGTGGAGTCTCCCCCACCGGGCGCAGTAGCGCAAACATTCGCGCTAAGCAGAGGTCTGGAGCCAGACCCCCTCTCCCTCCCCCCCTTACGCCCAATGTCGAAACGCCGAATCAGAAAACGTTCGCAAACTCCAACAGCAGTTCTTTTCCGTTATGAAGAAGGTTAGCTGCCGGCGTCGCCGTGGCCTTCTAAGACAGAAGGCAGCCTGCCCAATTGCGGGCGCAGTCGGTTTTGGACAGCATTTGTTGCTGGGCATCGCACTTCCCCAACATATTGTGGTGTTCGGTCCTCGTCTTGAAGGGACAACGCCCCGCGTCCCACCTCCACCTCCTGCTGCCCCTCCTCCTGCATACCATACCGGACGCCATCAGGTTCTCGCAGATTTCTGCGGATCGTCCGAGAAGTGCCCAAGCGTCAAGCGCCGGCAAGATCTTAATGATAGTTGTGCCTCTGCCCTCGGCGTGTCTCGGTTTCGGCACACCCCTCACACTCTTCGTGGTTCAACAGGGAGCTCCACGTAGGGCCCCAGTGGCGACGTTCGCATGCAGCTTCCCCCCCGATTTCAGCGCACCCCTCGCACGCTTAGAGCTCCACCGAAGGCCCCAGCGGCTGCGTTCGCATGCAGCTCCGCCCATCATCTTTTACACGCTTCATGGCCCCAGAAGGAGCTCCACCGAAGGCTCCAGTGTCTGCGTTCGCATGCGGTTCCACCTTTCAGATCGGCACACCCGTGACATGTTTCGCGGCCCCATAGAGAGCTCCACTTGAACAACCAGGCGGCGCTCTGCGGACTTTCACTACACCCCGACAAGACCAAGATTCTGACGAACGTTAGCCGTAGGATGGGTAGAACCATAACGCACATCAAGTTGGACGACGCACGTATCGACATCTTACACAACGACCAGTGCACAAAATACTTGGGCAGAAAACTGTCGTTCCACAACTTCCACGAGTACGAGCTAGCAAACAGGATCGCCGCAGGCTGGGCGAAGTTCAACCAGCTACGGACTGAATTCACGAACAAACGGTTCTCTTTGCACAGTAGACTACGACTTCTCAACGGCACAATCACGCCTTGCGTTATGTATGGATGTTGCTCATGGACTCTCACCAAAGACATGCTCCTCACGCTGCAGAGGACACAACGGAAGATGATTCGTCTGGTCGTGGGCGTGCCGAGAAGACGGCTCCGACAGGGAAACAAACACGCAGCACCCGATACCAACAGCACAACCGACGACACTGGTGACCAGCACGAATTTGGACCGCGCAGCAGAGACGACGACCTGGAACCCTGGATGGATTTCATACGCAGGAGTACACGCACTCCCATAAGTATTGCCGAGCGCATGCGTGTGAAAAAATGGGCACACATATATTTCAAAACGAAATGGAACTACGCAGCTCGAGTCGCAAGCCACAGTCACGACAGATGGACGAGACGTTGCATAACTTGGGACCCGAGCGCTCAAGACGCACGACGAGCAGAACGACGACACGGCGGTCAACGGAAGACTTTGGAACGACGACATCTTGTGATTTCTTAAAATAGCTACATAATATAAATGCGACAACCAATGGGTGGATATGGCATCGGATGCAAATTTGTGGAAAAGTCTTGAGGACGGCTTTCTCGACTACATGGAGGACTTCCTTCTTCTTCCTCAAAGAGTCTCCAACATCCACCACTCCGATTTCTGCTCGCAACACGTCTTCTGAGGGCCCCGGCCCCCCCGCGCTGCCCTCGTAGGGCCGGTCCCGCTGGACCGACATCGCGCGCTCGTCTCGTCTCGTCCCAGTTGGAGCGTTCGCATGCGGTTACCCAACCCCCAATTTAAGCACACCCCTCACACGTTTCGTTCCCCCGTAAGGAGTTCCACAGAAGGCCCCAGTGGCTACGTTCGCATGCAGCTCCGCCTGCCCATGTCGGCACACCCTTCAACCGCTTCGTGGCCCTATGTGGAGCTTCACCGAAGGCCCCAGCGGCTGCGTTCGCATGCAATTCCACCTTCCATGTCGGCGGCCCCCATCACAGGCTCCGTGTCTCCATAGGGAGCTTCTCCGAAGGCCCCGGTGGCAGGGTCCGCATATAGTTCCACCCCCCATTCTGGCACATCCCTCAAACGTTTCGTGGCCCCACTGGTGGCGCCCGCATCCCATGAGGAGATCCACCGAAGGCGATACTTACAAAGAAGGCACTCGCGACTACATGTGTTCGGGTCCCTCGCCAGCCGTGTCTCCTCGTGCGTATCCCGGGGGGGAAGCATCGAACGACAAAAAACATAAACATAACCTGTCGGCGGTCCGCGCGGGTTTCTTGGTTCCGCGCTGGGGCCCCACGGCGGCGCCTCCGGCGCCGCCCCTGGCGCGCTCCGCGCGCCAGGGAGGGGGGTCCAGCGCAGATCCAGGAACCCCGCGCGGAGCGCCAACAGTTTCAATGTATGGCGTTTTTTCTTCCTTGTAAAGCAGGCGCGCGAGGGCCTCTCCCTCTACAGGAGGAATATTCAAAAATACTATAAAAAAAAAGACTGGGGACTATTGTTTGAGCATTTTTTTGCAATTTTTGGGCATTTGTGGGGTATTTTTCATTTTTCGTCGAAAATCCCCCTGTAGGGAGACACGCCCGACTTAAACTTATGGCGCTTTGTCTTCCTGTAATGCAGGCGCGCGAGGGCTTCCTTTTCTTCTCTCGGGGGCGTCGAAGGTGGGGGGTGTGAGCACCAGGGCTCGAGGCTTTCGGAGGCCCCTTGACAAGTCGAGGTGGCCCCCCTGGAAGCCAGTTTCCCTGAGGAGATCGCGCCACGTGCCACTTGCTCCACCGCGGAGGCAACCCTGACATTCCAGGAGGGCTAGCAGAAACAGCGCTCGATGTTTTTGTATGTGTTGTTTTTTTGTTTTTCGCTCGCCGTTTCGGGGTCTTGTATGGGCAGAAATCCATTCAAAAATCCGCGGCAGCACGTTTGCAAGGTCGGTGCAATGAGACTTCGGATTCCGATTTGGATTCCGATTCTTCAATGAGGTCTTACAACTCTGCCGATCTCCGCCGATTCGACTTTTCCCGACTCGGCTGCCGATCTCCGCCGAGCCGATTCGTGTCGATTGCCGACCCGATTTATCGATTCGATTCTGGGCTCTCTTGTCCCTGCCTGGCCCGGGGGGGTTCGTGGGAGGCAGCCTTCGGAGCTCAGGCGACGGGGATCAAGGCAAACGGGGTCAGCCAGATCGCCGCATCTTGCAGGATTTTACAGATCCAGGGCTGCACTAACCCGGGTTTGGGTGCGGGATCTTACAGGATTTTGCAACGCCTGACTGACCTTAGCTTGGGCTGACCCAGGTCAGTAGATCCCCGAAGCTTGTGGCACGAAGTCCGTTTGAGAGATGGTGCCAGCCCTTGGATCGGATTACCCCCGAGCGCCAAATTGCCCGAGAGGCTCCCTCGGACGTCAAGGAACTGCCAGGAGGTTCAGGTCCTCTTCGAGGGTTCGGCCCCCGATGTTTCCCCTGAGAATCTGAGCACGGAGGCCGGCGTCTCCAAGCCCGTTGTCAGACGCTTGGGGTGGGCCCCAAGAGAGGCCCAGGGGAACCCCAGAGGGCCCCAAGAGAGCGCCCAGAGGCTCCGTTGCCATTTTGGGCTCAAGCCGTCGGCGGCGCGCGACGGGGGAAGTAAGAAAGAAGTAGAGGGCCCTCTCAGAGGGCGGCGGGGCTTCTCAGAAGCCCTCGCGCCTCATGATATGTTTTTGCTGTGTCTTCGAGGAATGCTCAGACAGTTGTTTATAAGGCCAGGGGACTTCCGAGCCGTCTGAGAAGGCCCGCCCCTGCTCGATGCCTCCCCGGGCTCGCCGCCGACCTATGATCGACATCACCGCCTCCCAGTGCCGATCGTAAGGAATCCCTCAGTTCCTGAGGGCTCATCCCTGAGCTTGTCATCGCCGTTGGGCTTGCCAGCTGTAGGGGTAGGGGTAAGACGGGCCTGTCCCTCTACATGAGGAGTATTCAGCATAGTCGAAACATGGTCTGGGGACGATCCTTTTCTAGTATGTTTGAATACCGTCTGAGTACTGCTTGGCCATGTTTGTTCCTAGTCCAAAGTCCGCCTGCAGGGGGGCATGCCCGACCTAATCGTGGGGTAGGGGTACGGTACGGTCGAGGCTGACTGAGCTGGCGCCGAGGGCCGTCGGTGACGCTCACGGGGCGGAGAAGTCTCCCCTCGGGGGGAGGTACCGAGGCCCGCGTCGGCAGGGAGGCCGCGGAGGGTGCGGATCGACTCGGGGGGGAGGGGGGGGCTCGTTGGAGGGCTTCTCCGAAGGGCTTGGGCGACCACTCCTCCTCCTCCTCCCTCCTCCTCCTCCTCCTCCTCCTCATCCTCCCTCCTCCTCCCTCCTCCTCCTCCTCCTCCTCCTCCTCTCCTCCTCCTCCCCCCTCCTCCTCCTCCGCTTCCTCCTCCCTCCGCCTCCGCCTCCTCCCTCCTACTCCTCCTCCTCCTCCTCCTCCTCCTCCTCCTCCTCCTCCTCCTCCTCCTCCTCCTCTCCTCCTCCTCCTCCTCCTCCTCCTCCTCCTCCACCATCTCCCCCTCCCCCTCCCCTTCCTCCACCTCCTCGTCCTCCTCCTCCCCCTCCCCCTCCTCCTCGGGTCGCCTGCGGCCCCGGGGGGAACTGTGTATGGGCTCGTTCTGAGTGGCTCGAGCAATGCGTGATGGGAGGAGGGGCGAGAAACTGGAAGCCTCCCAGATGGGATCGGAGCAGGTGGGGTCGGAGGAGCGCGCCGAATCGCCGATGCGTCGTCGATGCGGCTGGACGTAGAGCCCGATTTTCTCCACGCCGACGTCGCCGCTGCGCTTCTGCGACGTCGCCAGTGCATCGCCTACGCATTGGCGATGCATCGGCGATGGATCGGCAATGCGGCACGACCCTCCGACCTCATCTGCTCCGACACCTCTTGCGAGGCCTCTAGAAAGGGGGCGGGGTCAGGAGCGGAGACCTATAATGCCTCGAGGGGGGCCCCTATGGTGTCCTGAATGTGCACGAAGAGTGTCCCTTTCTTTCTACCCCCCTGAAACCCGAGGATGCAAGTAAGGACTACCTTGTTCGGTGAAGCTGTACCGCTTCTCGCCCCCTGGAAATGATACTCCGACCCAATAAGATCCCGACGATCTTCCAATCTTATTCCGATAGAGTTCAAAAAGGATCCCGGTAAGATCGGACCCCAGTAGGATTCCACCATGGGACTTCCCGATACGAGCCCACCTTGAGAGCGTTCTTCTACGATGAAAGGGCGTGATTCCACTTCGACGAAAACGCAATAAGGATTCCTCTTCGATGAAAACGAAGGACTCCCCAAATCAGGATTCCTTTTGGACGGAAACACATTAAGGATTCCTTGTCTACTCCTACCGCCCACAAGTTCCGCGGACGTGCTTCATGAATCATATTGCCGAGGTGCCAGACGATATCGCTCGGCTGTCCCCTCGCCCTTTGGAACTACTTGATCCATTTGACTGCTACTGATTACACTGGGGTGTTCATTGGTCGGGCATTGACAGAACGCCCATCCCCCGACAAGTCGACTAAGGAAATCTGCACCGGTTCATTCGACACTGGCATTCGAGTGTGTCTATGTAGTCCCCAGTCGACTTCGACAATCGACGTGCATCTCGCCAGATACATTTGCTTGCTGTTGGATGTCGATTCGCTACCCCGCCCGGGTCCACTCGGAATGCGGCACCGTGCGCACGTGGACTGTCCCTGGCAGTTTTCATTGAAGGGCGTTTTGCTCAAGGCCCTTGAGCAAAACGCCCTAGGGTCTAGGGGTCTCTGTCCTCCGACGAAAGCATCTATACACCACCACCGTGCCAGGCCAGGGCCATCCTGGGCCGTAGGATGGTGTATAGACCCTCCTGGCTCGGCCGGGAGGGCGTATACACCATCCTAGGGCCCAGGATGGCCCTGGCCTGGCACGGTGGTGGTGTATAGATGCTTTCTGCGTATGTCCACTCTCAAATCGGTATTCGGGTTATTTGCGCACCCAGCCAGCAGCGTCCGAGCGGCGCCTGGCCAGCGCGCCAGGAGCAGCGAGAGCGGCTGGACCGCGTGCGAGGACGCGGCGGCGCGGCGGCTCCGCGTGCCCCCCACGCGGGCCCGACAGTCAGGCCAGCAGGGCAGCTCCTCCTCCTCCTCCTCCTCCTCCCCCTCCTCCTCCTCCTCCTCCCCCTCCTCCTCCTCCCTCCTCCTCCTCCTCCTCCTCCTCCTCCTCCTCCTCCCTCCTCCTCCCCCTCCTCCTCCTCCTCCCCCTCCCCCTCATCCTTGCACTGCATGGACGTGATTCCTCCCTTGGGGGCCGGCGCACACAAGTCAGGCTTTCAGGCAACTTTTCTCTTCCACGCTGCCCACGCAGTCGACGCTGCGTCTGGGCTTCCGTCTGGGGTATCTCCTCGGCTAGACGAGGCGACAGATGCGGCTGTCTGCGATGCATGAGTTGAGCATTCTGGTGTGAGAGCCCTGTGCACGAGCGAAACTGATGCTAGAGGGAGCCTGAGGTGGCCGAGCGCTGGCTCCGGCCAGCAGGAAGGGCGGGCAGGTTCGAGGGGTCGGGTTCGGGAAGGTTTCTGTTGCCTTTTTCAGCCTCAGGGGGATCCGCTTTCGGGCTCCGGGGCCGTGAATATTTGAGAGGAGGAGGAGGAGGAGGAGGAGGAGGAGGAGGAGGAGGGAGGAGGAGGAGGGAGGAGGAGGAGGAGGAGGGGAGGGGGAGGGGGAGGGGAGGAGGGAGGGAGGGAGGGAGGGAGGAGAGGGAGGGAGGGAGGGAAAGTGGGAGGGAGGGAGGGAGGGAGGAGGAGAAGGAGGAGGAGGAGGAGGAGGAGGAGGAGGAAGAAAATCACCAGATGGACCCGGGAGGGGTACGGTACGGGGACCGACTCTGAGCGGATTCGCCGGCATCCCCCGCTCTCGACAAGTTTTCTCGGGGCCCATCCAAGTCAGACCCCCCGGCCGCCTCGAAACGTTAGCATGATTCTTCGGATCGGCACGATCGAAATGGGAAGGGAAAGAACAGGAACGGACCGACAGCAGTTCGGCCCATGTTGGGCAGGACTCGCTGTCGGCGTCGCCGCGGACGGTGTCCGTCTGAGACAGACAGGCGCCTGCCCAACAGCAGCCACTGCCAACATGTGCTGTTGGGTATCGTACCCATGTTTGTCGTTTGTCGCACCCATTCCGGGCGTCCAAATCGGAGGTCCGCTCAGATTGTGTAGATCGGCGTTGGGCCCCCTTTGGCGGCGCCTCCAGCGCAGCCCCTGGCGCGCGGAGCGCGCCAGGGAGGGGGGTCAAGAACCCCCCTTTTTGGCACACCATTCACACGTTTCGTGGCCTCACGGGGAGCTCCACCGAAGGTCACAGTGGAAGGGTTCGCATAGCGCCACTGCACCGATTTTGGCACACCATTCACACGTTTTGTGGCCCTATAGGGGGCTCCAACAAAGTCCCCAGTGGCAGGAAAAGCATGCATGACCGCGCACAATCTCGGCACACCCCTCACACGTTTCGTGGCCCGATATAGTGCTTCACGGAAGGCCCCAGCAGTTGCGTTAACATGCGGTTCCACTTTCCATTTCGACACACCTTTCACACGTCTCTTCGGGGGCAACGATAAGGGGGGATTCATCGACCCCAAGTCGCCCATTGATCGCCGATATGGGCCCGATAGCCCCAACCTGCCCAGGAAGGTGCGGATTCACTATCGGGGGCCTATCGCCGATCTATCGGCGATGTATCGCCGATTCCACGTCGATGCATCCCCACCTATGCCAGTCCCCCCCTATCGTTGCCCCTCATCTCTTGGCCCCACAGGGAGCTCCACCGACGGCCCCAAAGGCAGGAGTCGCATGCGCGACCGCGCCCAGCTGGGCACGCCCTCGCACGCTTCGTGGCCCCCATGCAAAGCTCAACCGAAGGCCCCAGTGGCAGGAGTCGCATGCGTGACCGCGGCCATTTTGGCACACCCCTCACACGTTCTGTGGCTCCATAGGGTTAGGTCGGGTCTGTCCCTCTACAGAAGGAAAATTCAAAGATAGTCAAAACATAGTCTTGGGATAACGTTTTTATTATTGTTTGACCATTTGGGAGTATTTTTGATTATTCTTATGTTTTATCCAAAATCCCCCTGTAGGGGAACAGGCCCGACCTAACCCCAGTGGCAGGAGTCACATGCGTGACCGCGGCCGTTTTGGCCCACATCTCACACGTTCCGTGGCTCCATAGGGCGCTCCACCGAAGGCCCCGCCGCCTGCTGCTCCCCAAGGCAGCGCCGACAGACGCGCAGATCAGACGTAATGGGTTATGCAACCTGGTACGGCCGACCCGTGCGATTTTGTTCTCACGCACGCCTTGGTCTTTTTGCGAGCCCCTGCCTTCCCGAAGTTCCCACTTGTCTTGCGGTATTCACGGCTGCATATGGTCGTGTGGATCTTTCGCCGGGCTAATTTCAACACGCGGCCCCTTAAAGCCCCGACTTTTTCCCCAGGGCTGGTTGTTCATCCTGAGTCGTTTTCCGACGGTCCCGGGGCTCAGCGAGGGCCCTTGAAGCTGAAACTTGCCTAAAACTTCCCGCCCTGATGTTTTACGACGCGAGCATGTTTGGGCAGCTGAAGTCTTGCTTGTGACGTTTCCTGTCACGAAATTCCTGCAAGTCGGAGGCCACTGTGGCGCCGCGACGGCTGGTTCTCTCGGGGCAAAGCGGGCCTCCGTGGCCTCCTCCTGTTTTGTATGTCTTTGTCGTCACAGGCGGCATGTTCCTGTCGTGTCCTGACTGCCGCGCCTCAAGTCGCTGCGGCTCCCGTACCCTGGACCCGTGGCACCCTGGACAACCACGGCCCTGGGGCACTCGTTCCTGCTACCTGTTCGATGGCACAAGGTTGCACTTCGTCTCAGCGTCGCTCTCCACTCTCCCTGATCCCTGACGCAGCTCGGTTGCAAGGCGCGTCGCTTCTCGCCGCCAATTCGAGGCTGGTGTAAGTGATGAGCCGTTGACGGCAGCACCAACCACAGCATTTTGCTTCTACCGGTACTTCGCCGCCGGGTTCATGGAAAAGGCGCGCCTTTGCAAGTACGTCGACTGCGGCACCGCCTGATCCCGAGGCTTTGCCTCCTCCCGGCCTCGTTATGAGGCTGCGCCCCCCTTTTTCCCTCCCCCATCTCTGGTTAAGCCAAGCTTCGCGCGGCCCGCTCAGCTTCGACCGGAAGAGGTGCGCTCTCGACCCGCGAATCCAAAAATCATGCTTTGCATGTCTTCGCCAGGCCCTCGCGGACCAGCGGCCAGTCTTCTTGCATCGGTGGCGCGGGGTCTTGCGCCTCACTCGGAGAAGGAGCAGCACCGGGGACGTGCGTTCTCGGGGCTCCGCGCCCCGCTCCTGCACGGAAGCGGGGCCCGTCCTTGCCGCAGCTGCTGTGAGGAATTCTGGAGGCCTTCGCGCGGCGTGCAATAGCTGCTCGTGCACGCGTCCGCCCCGTAAGGTATGGGACGGCGTTCGCGCGGCGTGCAATAGCTGCTCGTGCGCGCGTCCGCCCCGTAAGGTATGGGACGGCCTTCGCGCGGCGTGCAATAGCTGCTCGTGCACATGTCCGCCCCGTAAGGTATGGGATGGCGTTCGCCCGGCGACGTTTCTTGTGCAAGTCCGAGCTAAAGCTGGCGTGAACTCGACGCAAATCCGATGTACAGTCAATCCGCGCAGTAAGGATGAGCAACTTTCCAGGGATTTTTCTCATAACATGCTTGCGCGTCCTCGATCATCGGGATGGGTCAGCGGGGGGCGGGGCGGATATCATGGCCAGGCCAGGGTCCACGGTATCTCCGTAGATCTCATGGACTCTTCTTACTTCGAAGCGATCGGGCCGAGGTATGATGTCAAGGTCGGCTCGTCGAGGGTACCCTGATGTTTTTCGTGCTCGTTGGATGTTTTCGTGCGCCCTAGGGGAAGGCACCTTCGAGCGATTCTATGGTCTGGGGTGCGGTGGCCGGCGGAGGGTCTCATGTTATTGAAGGATGTTATTCTGCCTTTTGGTCCGATTGTACGTTCCCGGGCCACCTCTTCGGCCGCGCACGTGCTTCGGGCTATGAGTTGCGAACCCCCTCTTGGGTGCCCTCCTCGGACGCCACCGAGAGAACCTCCGAAGCCGGAGGGGGCGGGCGGGGCTGGGACGAAGATAGATACGTTCCAGAGCGATCTCGAACGCGCTCACAGCGTTCGGGAACGCTCTGAGACGGCCGCGGCGCCCGAGATCTCCTCCAGAGCCGCCGAATCTCAGAGATTCTGGATTTATCCTCGCCCGAATGTATTATCATCTTCGCTTCGTCTTACAAGAGTTGTGGCCCCTCCTTTTTTTCTTTGCATCTTCGGGTGACCTTTCCTGTCCTGTAGGTGGCAGTCCTGTCCTGTACTCCGACGTGGCTTCGACGCGGGCATTTCGACGTGGATTCGGCATAGAGTCGACACTGATGCGACACGGATTCGACACGGATTCGATGCGCTCGACACGGCTTCGACACGGCTGCGACGTGGATCGCGGCGCGTCGGGACAGATGAGGTCATCCGAAGGTGCAACACACAGCCATGGTGGCGCCCTCTGCTTGGACGCCCCCCCAGAGTCGGCGGTGGACGAGCCTCCCTTCATCAGGAGGGAAAGTAACACAGACACAATTAATCGTCGACTCCCAGGAAAATATAGGAAAATATGGGAAGTGGGGGGGAAGACAAAAACTAGAAAATATAGGAAAATATGGGGAATCCTTTTATTTGTGTGTATTTTTTTGTGTGTCCCAAGGCCCCTTCACTTCAGTAAACCACCCTTTAGTCCAAACGGCCCAGGACCGAAACCGACGGGCCTGGACCCGCAACACATGACGGCCGCGACCCCCTCTCGCGAACCGAAAACGGCCAATTCGCCAATCGACGCGTCAGGTCAGGAGGTCTGTCAACCTCCGAGAGGGAGAGCCTCCGAGGCCGGAGGGGGCCGGCCCGCGAGGAGTGCGTGAACTTGGCGTGGGACCAGCCGGTGAGCTCAGAGGTGCCCCCCGCCGCGTCGCGCGCCCCGCCGAGCGGCCAGCCCGGCCTCAGCTCGGCGGCGAGCCCGGGGGGTTTGAGGCTCGAGGTTTTCGAGGTTCGATCGATCTGGGCGGGATCGGAGTAGTTAGATTCAAGCAGTGGCGAAGCGTCCTGGTTCGCCTATGGGCCCACCAAAGAATGGTCTGAGAACCGTTTGTGGTCTGCACGAGATGTTCTTAGAACGATTCTGGCTGGGACTGCCTTGTTTTATCACATCGGGTTCATGTGCTAAGAACATTGCTTCTGTCCGGGTTCTAAGGGAATTTCGTGGTAGGCCTGTAGGAATGCCCGGACGGTCGGTCCCTGCTCAAATCTCGGCGGCGAGCCCAGGGGGCTTGAGGTTCGAGGATTTCGAGGTTCGATAGATTTAGGCCTCCTAGGTGGGATCGGAGTAATTTGATGGGGTCGGAGGGTCGCGCCGCATCGCCAATGCATCCGCGATGCGGCTCGATGTGGAGCCCGGTTTCTCCACGTCGACGTCGCGGATGAATCGCCGACGTCGACGAGGCATCGTCGATACATCGTCGATGCATCGTCGATACATCGGCGATGCATTGGCGATGCGGCGATCCTTTGACTCCATGTGCTCTGACCCCATCTAGGAGGCTTCTAGATTGCGCTTCGAGATTTCCGGGGTTCGATCGAGGGTTTCGGGCGTTTTCGTCGGTTGTCGACGGTCTTCCAGCCTCGGGATTCTTTCCTGCAGCTGCGCCTCGCCGAGGGCGTTCCGGCATTGCCCGGATCGTCCCGAATGGCCGCCGGAGGGTCAAGTGATGACCCGAAGATCAGATTCGGCGGCGCGCCCGGGGGGAATCCGCTGCCTTCTGAGAAGGCTTTTTCCTTTTCATTTCCCCCCCTCGCTCGCCGCCGATCATCGGAGGAGGAAGACTAGTCTATACTCATCGGCAGTTGAGCCACGAAGGAAAACGGGTTCGCCTTCACTGACATTGGCGGGTGAGTTGCCCGCGTAAGGTCGCGCGTGAGCTCTTCGTTTCCAATGTGGCGCACCGCGCTGGCGCACCGCATAAGCCACCGCGTAAGGTCGTTGAGCCATCTCAGGTATGTCCGTGTTCGGAGACTGGCCGATTCGAATCTGGCATCATCCAGTTTCAAATCCGCTTGTTTCTGTTCATCCGGCGTCATTTGGCCTCATCCCAAGCTTAATCCGTCCCATAATCGGGCTTAAAGCCTTCCTGATCGGGCTTAGCCTTTCTTTCGTCCAGAGCTTGTGTTTCTTATCCACACCATCCCCATCCCCCCGCGGCTAGCAATCATTGGCGATAGTGCGTAGCGGGGGGTGGGCTGGAATAGGAGGAGGAGCAGGAGGAGGATTAAGTCGGGCGTGTCCCTCTACAGGAGGAATATTCAAAAAGAGTCAAACATACTCTGGGGACGATTTTTTGATTGTTTTAGATTCTGTTTGAGTGTTGTCGGTGTATTCTCTATTTTTCCTCCAAGATCCGCCTGTAGGGGTACACGCCCGACTTAGGAGGAGGTGGAGGAGGAGGAGGAGGAGGAGGAGGCGCGGGTCAGCCCCAGAGGGCGCGGACGTGCAGCCGCGCTGCGCGCGTCGCGGCGGCCGCAGCGGCCGACGAGCGAGCCCTCTCTCTCCAGGGGGTGCCGCGAGGGTGCGGGGAGGACAGCCCGCGTCGCGCAGCGCGGGTCGGGGTGCGCGACGTGAGGCGACCAGGCGTGTAGGTTTAAGTCGGGCCTGTCCCTCTACAGGAGGGATATTCAAAAATAGTCAAAACACAGTCTGGGGACTATGTTTTGACAACCTCCTCCTCCTCCTCCTCCTCCTCCTCCTGCTCCTCCTCCTTCTCCTCCTCCTCCTCCTCCTCCTCCTCATCCTCCGCTTCCTTCCCCCACTCCTAGCCCTTTCGATCAGGGTCGGCGGCACCGGCCGTCAGGCCTCTCCAATAGTCAAAACACAGTCTGGGGACTATGTTTTCACCATTTTCGCTCATTTTGGGATTATTTTCAGATTTTTCCTCTAAAGGCCCGCTGTAGGAGGACGTGCCCGACCTAAGTGTAGGTGCAGAGCTTGGGAAACGAACAATGACATAAACATAACAACTGGGAGGTCCGCGCGGATTTCTCGGATCCGCGCTGGGGCCCCCTGGCGGCGCTGCCGGCGCCGCCCCTGGCGCAGCGCCGATCCGAGAAATCCGTGCGGACCTCCGAATTGTTCTGTTTATGTCATTATTCGTTCCCCTATTCAAAGCATTCCACGCGTTGGTGATCGTTGTCTCACTCCTCGTTTCGCCGATCGGCGCGGGCCCTCGCACCCCTTCCCCCCCTCCCTCCGATGGAGCAGGCCTTGCCTGTCTTGGGCGCCTGTTTCAAGCAGGTGGACGGTTCCCCATAGGATTGCCCTTGAGAGGGCTGCTCAAAACAGTCGCACTAAAGCCAGACCCCCCTCTCCCCCCACCTTCCGCTCAATGTCGAAATTCCGAATAAGAAAGCGCCCATTCGGCAAATATCACAACACACAATGTAGACGTCGTTTGCGGCCTCCAGGGGTGGGTCCGTCAGAAAGCGGCTCTAGATGAAAAGCCGGCTCTGGTGAAAGGGTCGGGACTTTCGGGGACCCCGCATGTAGGCAAGCATGACATCGGATGCTTGGGATCCACTTAGTTCCTCCCGCTCCGTCCTCCCGTGAAAGAGGAAGCCGACCAGAGGAAGACAGGGGGGCACAAGCTGGGCATTGCGGGAGGAACCGCTCTCCGTCCTTGAAGCTTTTGCGAACTTTACTACTCGTGTGTGCAGCGACGTGGCAAGCGCCCCATTGCGGACATCATCTGTGTTCCAGTCTGGCAATTGGTGCAACATTGTAGGTTCAAGTCGGGCTTGTCCCTCTACAGGAGGAATATTCCAAAATGGTCGAATAATAGTCTGGGGACGACTTTTTGACGATGTTTGACTCATTTCGAGCTTTTTTGGTGTATAATTTTATGTTTCGTCCAAAATCCACATGTAGGGGGACATGCCCGACCTAACCATTGCGGACATCATCTGTGCTCCAGTCCTGCAATTGGTGCAACATTGTAGGTCGACTCCTGCGCGGCGTGAAAGCGACAGCCCAGCCTTGAAAAGGAGCTGGCCTCCGTCCCTGCAACGGTTGCGCATTTCGAGCTTCGGGGTCGTCTATTTGAGTCAGAATATTCAAACATGGTCCAAACATAGCCTGGGGACGATGTTTCTGTTTGTTTGTTACCAGTGTGGGGAATTTGTTGTTTTTCCTCCAAAATCCGCCTGCAGGGGGCATGCCCGACCTAATCGTAGCTGGCGAGGGAGTCTGAGGCGGAATGCTCGGCCCGCCCTGCCGACACGTCTGGGGGTGGGACAGGGGGAGCCCCGCAGTTCTCAAGAGAAGGCAATGCAGGACGAAGGGGCCAGGCAGGATGAGCAGGACCAGGAGCAGCAGGAGCAGCAGCAGGAGGAGGAGGAGGAGGATTATGAGGGATGAGGGGGGGGGTGGTAGATAGGGGGGTAGGCTCAGGGGGAAAACGCATCGAGCCTAGTTCGCCCATTGATCGCCAAAAGGGGCACGATAGCCCGACCCGCACAGGAACGTGCGGCTTCGCTATCGGTGACCTATCACCGATCTATCGGCGATCTGAGCTGTCCCCTCCCCTTTCGCTTCCCCTCAGAAGATGGAGAAGGAGGAGGAGGAGGAGGACGAGGAGAAGGAGGAGGAGAAGGAGGAGCAGCAGCAGGAGTAGGAGCAGGAGCAGGAAGACAGGAGCAGGAGCAGGAGCAGGAGCAGGAGCAGGAACAGGAGCAGGAGCAAGAGCAGCAGCAGGAGCAGCAGGAGGAGGAGGGCGAGGAGAGGGAGGAGGAGGGGAGGAGGAGGGAGGAGAGCAGCAGGAGGAGGAGGGCAGGAGAGGAGGAGGGAGAGGAGGAGAGAGAGGAGGAGGAGGAGGAGAGAGGGGGAGGAGGAGGAGGAGGAAGGAAGGGAGGAGGGGAGGAGGAGGAGGAGGAGAGGATGGGGAGGGGGGGGGGGAGGGAGGGAGGGAGGAGGAGGGATGGATGGAGGGAGGGCGGGAGGGAGGCAGGGAGGAGGAGGAGGGGGAGCAGGAGGAGGACGAGGAGCGCAGATGCTTGGCAGGGTGGGGGGGGGGGGAGGAGCTGTGCGCCTCCGCCCGCGCGGCGCAGCCCCCGCGGCCCAGGGTCGGGGGGGGGGGCCCGCCGGTTGGGGGCAATGAAGCGGCTCCGCGGCGCCGGCGCTCGCCGGGGACGCCGGGCTCCCAAGCTCGAGGGCGGAGCGAGGGTCGGAGGCGGCGAAAAGGGGCGAACGGCCCAGGGGAGAGCAGCGCGTGTACTTCGGGGGCGGAAAGGAGGGGGGTGATGACTCTAGGGGCGGGGGATGGATATCATGGCGTGGGCCATGGTATTTCCCCAGATGTCATGGCGCCTCTTCTGATTTCATTACGTCCCTGGCCCCCTCGCTGGGCCGCGCACATGCCGCCGGTCATGATTTGCACCCCCCCCTCTTGGACACCCCCCTCTTGGCCGCTCCCGAGTACTCGGGTGCGCCGACGATCTGTGTCTTCGAAGAGGCTCCTGGGGGCGAATGAGTGTGATGCCCGCCCCTGGGCCATTCGCCCCTATCGTCGCCGCCGAGTTGGGGGGAAGTGAGAGCCCTGAGATCCTGGCGACTCAACTTTTTCGAGCCGGGCGTTTTCGCCCAGTTTCGGGCCCCAGGACCCTCGCGGATGGATCGGACTCGGAGCATGGCGCAGGGAAGGTTGGGGCCCTGGGCTCCAGCCGTGATTTCTCGCAACGCTTCGATTCTTCCGCGGCGTCGGATTTCTGGAAAAGAGAAGGCCTTCTCGGAAGGCGGCGAGGCTTCCCACGAGCCCTCTGGTCTTCTGAGAAGTTGATGGCGTCTTCGGGGAAAGCTTCCAGAAAACTTCTCAGATGGCCGAGGCCGGAAGACTTCCGAGCCTTCTGAGAAGGCCCGCCCATTCTCGCCTCCCCCCCCCCCCCATGGGCGGGCCCGCCCACACAAGAGCGGACGCGCGCGGGGAGGCTCGGAGCCGCCATGCCCGCCAGTGTTCTGTAGTTGTTTCGCAGTTCGCC